AATATGATGCGTAATATTACTTTGTATGCACAGGGGAAAAGATGATTCATTCTTGTGTATTTCTGAATGGGGAGACTGGATGAAATCTGAGTAGAATATTACTGCTTTGCTCACCACAAGTTACTACTGTCTCAACTTATTCAAAGGAAGTCACCTTGAATTCTGAAGAGTTGACCGAAGAGTCATCTTAGTAGTTTTATGACAGTATCACTAGTCATGTTGCCCAGACACACAAGAATGAATCATCTTTTCCTCTGTGCATACAAAGTAATATTACGCATCATATTTTTTCTTGTTCTCTGTTCATGTCTACGTGTCTCTTGCCAACGTTGAAAATTAAACGTGGCATGTTTTACCTGTAAAAACTTGCTCAATCCTACATCATGGAAGGATATAAAATCTACCTGACTTTATCCATCTCACATGAAGACATACACACAAACCCAAATAAACGAAAAGAAACTTCCAAATGGGCAATTGGTTTACAAAACTCTATGATGCATTGGCATCATTAAGTAGCGAAAAACATGCACGGATACTAATGTTGGGATTGGATGCAGCAGGAAAAACGACGATTTTATACAAAATTAAATTGAATGAAAATTTACAAACGATCCCAACAATTGGTAAGTGTTCGTGAAAACGATCAGTAAAAGTATTAACTGTTGGCTTTCTTCTCGAAGGGTTTAATGTTGAAACGGTTCAACCATGTAGAGGAGTATCATTTACTGTATGGGACGTTGGTGGTCAAGATAAAATCAGACAACTATGGTAATTCTGTGACATTACTGCATCAAATGCATGAATCTGATCATTTCTTTTTCAGGAAACACTATTATCAAGGAACTGAAGGATTGATCTATGTTGTCGACAGTAATGACCGCGAACGGATCGCAGAGTCGAAGTCTGAATTACATGAAATATTAAAATCACCCGAAATGACACATGTTCCGATTGTTGTCATTGCTAACAAACAAGATCTGAAAGGTATGCTTCCTGTCTTTTCTTCTTTACTTTTAATACTTACCGTCGGTGAATTTAGATGCAATGTCTTGTTCTGATATTGTACAAAAGTTGGGTCTCAACGAATTGAATGGCAAAAATAGATGGTATATACAAAGTGCATGCGCAATCAATGGTGACGGTCTCTTGGATTCGATGCTAGAAATGTCACGTTTGATTAAAGAATACCGAAAATCCAATGGTGATTATTCAAACTATTGATAACATTGTAAATTACATTTTGATGTTATATGTAAATAAGTATCTTTCGTTTTACAAATAGTTTATTATAATGTAAATTTTTCTAAGGAATATAGTACACGATTCAAAAGGGGAGGTTTCGGCTTTCAGCACGTACTAATACAATTGGTCTTTGGAACGACTAGATTCGATGAGTGCGTTCTGAGGTAAGTGAACTACAGAACAGGTAATAGAGTACGAAGTTCGAATTAGGGAAAACACGCGACGCCCTGCTAAGCACATTTCATTTGAACTACCAGTGATTAATGATTCTGCTGGAAGCAAGAAGAATGAAATCTTGTGTTTGGATGAAATTCTATTATAAACAGTGATTGAAACAAAGCTGTTTTGGTATTTATTATATTCTCTATAGCTTTGCTCTTTATATAAAACAATAACCTCTTTTCTCATCTAAAACAGTAGGTAAAATAAAATTCTGTACCATATTTTTCGTTATATGAAAAACAGACACTATCGGTTCATTGCCCGTTAGTTTCAATAAAAATATCTCAGAGCGCTTGTTTTACCTCTGTTTTACTGCTTGTTTCACAAGAATGCTGAATAATCTGAATGACTGCAAAAACTTTCAGATGTCTTGATCTTAGCAACATTTAGTTTACTGGTTGAAATATTTTCGAAAAGAAAGTGTTCACCAAACGCATACTTTTCTGTGTCGATCAGACGGATCAGTTCCATCGTCCACTCTCCCGCCCCGAACGAGACAACGTTCATTCCCACCCTCATTGTCATCATTAGCACAAGTAAAACTTCCAAAGGGAAAAGTTCTTTGCGTTACAATATTTCGAGAATCTAAATTTTTAACAAAAAAAGAGTAGAATGAAGAAGTACTAGTAGGTTAATGATTCAAACATTTATGTAAGATAATTGTTGTAAACCTTAATATTTCGTGCAGTAATTCCATTTGCAACCGGATGTCATTTGGACAATGATTGTCACAAGTTATAATCGAATTATCTTTGATTGAATGATGCCATTACATCCTGACCTATTGTTAAAATGCACGATGATCATCGTCTTTAGCGCTGCTCGACTTCGTTTTTACTGAACAATGGTCAATACGACTAAACCTGTACAGAGTAATTGTTTACGGAGAGCCAACCCTACCCTACTGTATGAAGATTTTGAGAATATTTTATCGACAATCATACCTTTATTTTTTTTATCTAAATATTGGTGACAATCATTTCTAACATTGGTGAAAATCATCATTTTCTTTTAAAATTTTCTTTTCGAGCGTTTCTTTGTCCAGTCTTTGTCGACGATCTTTTAAAACTCGTTCACTAGCACTAAATATTCTTTCTAAAGTCGCCGAACTCGCAGGTAATGATGTTGTCTTTATTTTTGATATTACTTTGTTCCAAAAATCGGAGGTGGCTGATAAGGACGATATTGTTACGGTCGGTAGACTTCCTTCTTTCAATAGACGAACATATCCTTTTTCTTTCTGCTTTTCTTCTAGGTGATCCTTCCTTATTAACTTTAATTAGTTTTTCGATATATATATGCGACAGACAGAAAATAAAAGGTTCAAAGAAAAGATGGCAAGAAACGTTCATCTAGCTACCATGCTGGCAATAATGTGTGAAAGAAGAAAGGGACATTTTCTCACCAGCTCTCCGAGAATGATGCTAAAGTTTAGCATCATCGTAGACTAATCATCCGATAATAACTATTTCTGAAAATCTTTTATCGTCATTTTGATCTATTGTTTTTCACATCGTCGAATAATTAATTGGACAAAAAACCGAGAAATCAAATGAGCGTCTCAAATTAAGTAAAATTCATTCCTCGTCTCGTCCCCCCATTCCTCGACGTCCGTCGTCGTCGTAGTAAGACCACAAGCCAGTATATAAAATATATTGCTACTAGTCTTCTAATTGGACCATCATTCTTTTTATATCTTTACATTCTGAAAATTTATCCAAATTAACATATACAATTAATAGTTGAATAGAGAAAAAGAGGTATTAGTCTTTCAGTGTTCTTCGTTTTTAACATACTTTTCATGTTCAAATGCCCATTGTACTTTTTGTCTTTCAGTTTTTCAACATATTCAGCATCATAACCATTACACTTCATTTTTATTAAACACACCCGCTGGAATCTGATCAGTAGTTAAACGCTCTTTATATGGAAAATGATTTCTTATTGTATTATGTGTTCTACAGATTATATGTAAATGAGAATGTTCTAGAAACCATAGAGGATAAACATTGTGATATACTAATTTTCGTCTATAATCAAATTCCAGAATTAACAAATCAGAACTAGAATAAATCCTGATTACACTATGGCTAAAGAGCTAATAGCGGCCGTTTTATATGACCTTAGTAAGTACGATGTTATTCCATTTCATCATCAACCTTGTATTCGGCCTCTTACGCTAAACTGTTGCTAGTGAAGTGATGACTGTCGTTCATATTAGAACATCTATTAATGGAATTACAAAAACAGTTTCCTTCTCAAATCTGGATTTAATCGAGAAATATAAAAGATTTAACTCATTTAATAGGCCTGTCCGTCCGTATCAATCTGAACATATTATAAATATGCCGTTTCCACGGCAGACATTTATCATTATTAAAATCATATTCTAAATAAGTTGTTCCTTCTAGGTTCACGAGCCATAACTAATGTCTTCATCCCAAGTTCAACTCAGGTAACATCAAAAATTCGGTTAGAGACTCTAGATCGTAGAACGAAAATAGCACGTTTGAAATATTTTTGGAAACATGTGAAATAGAGAACCACTCTCTAAAAAAGTTTCGTATCATACAGAGCCAAAAAGGATATTTCCGTGTGGGGATACCCTTTTTGGAATCCCAGAGTACTAAATGCAGATACTCTCTTTGTTTGGTTCTGTGGAATTAGGAATACTCGCAAAGAAATCTTACAAAACCAAAAGGGGTACACTGAAATACCAAAATGGCGTTGTAAAATACGGTTAAGGGTATTTCTAATTCCACAGAATAAAAAAAAAGAGGGTATCTACATTTGTTACTCAGCGGTCGAGAAAGGGTATCCCAGCATGGAAATACCTTTTTTTGGTTCTTTTTTCTAGAGAGCACCTTACCACGGTTCAATTTAATTGAGCTTATGCGAGAAAAAACGGCTCTCAATAAGGAAAACTCACTAATGTTGAAGAGATCAGATTGTAAACCAGATGTACTTGTCGGAGGATTCATCAGCAGAAATGGAATGGAAGAGCTTACCCAACCAGGGGTGGCACTTTTCCGTTCCTTTTCTGAGTAACGATAAAGTGGCATCTTTTATTTCAAAAGTAAAGAATAAAGATATGCATTATATCTTTACTCTTTTCTGTTGTAAAGAAAAAGAAAAACTTTTCTTTTGTTAATAGAAAAAGGAGGGAAGAGAAAGTGCCACCCCTGTACCTAACACAGCTGTACTTTCTTCATCTATTGCTAGTTTTACCCTGCAGTTAGAGCAGCACTTGTCACATTTGTACCGACATCCTTCTTTCAACGTGTATTTTTTCTCTCTCTTACCTTTTTTTTTACATATCTTCTGTCCTCTTTTACATTTTCTTTTGCGATGTTAGTTTTTCCATATCCAGATCTGTTTCTTTTCTCTTTATGATGAAGCACAACACATAAATTTGAATTGAATTGAAAAGAAATGAGCTGCATAAAAGAAATAAAGTATCCGAAGAAAACTACGTGCTGCTGGTGTTTTAGTGAGTGTGAACTAAAGTAACTGAATCGAGAGGGGTTGGATTTCCGTTAGCTTTATATTCATAAATAAGTAGAGCATTTCCATCTTTTTCTTGAAAGGTTAATCTTCCAAATCCAAAATGAGTATAACGAACAACTGACCATTCGGGTGAAGGATTAATAAACTTGTCTTCACCAACGGCAATTCCTCCAGTACCTTGGGTGAGGTATAAAGGCCAGGGAGAATTCGTATAAGTGTTTGGAATTGTTGGAGGAGCTATTTGAGTTCCATTAAAGACAGGACCAGCTCGTTCATAAACGTGCATATGACCTCCAAGAACTAAATCAACTCGATTTTTAATGAACAATTCTTCGAAAGTATTTAATAAAGGAGAACCAGGAGTGTGTTGACTTAATTCATCTGCATCGCTACAATAGAAAGGACGATGTCCGGAAATAATAATCCATTCAACAGACCTTCCTTTGAGATCATTTGCTTTCTGGAGTTCTTGTTCAATAAAACGAAATTGTTCACTACCATTTGTATAATCATGTTCAGTGCTAATCACAATAACATATGCTGATCCCCATTGCATGGAATACCAAAAATTAGAAGGAAATGCGTTACTTTTAGGCATGTGGAATCGAAATTGAAAAGCAGTATAATTATAATATTTCTCGTGATTTCCAACTGTAACTTGATAAGGCATCAAAGTAGCCAAAGCTTGAATTTGATTCATATATTCATCCCATAAAAATTCCATTTCACCCTCCTGAATGGAACCAACCCCAGCATAGGCAATATCACCAATGTGCAGCAACATACTGAAAGGAGAAATCTGATGATCAGTCAAAATCCAACTGGTCACTTTATGACCACCGGGCAGTATTCCCATATCACCTAAAAACAAAAATATACACCTGAAAAAGATGATTTGTAAGAAATTGATTTTTTGCTAAAGAACTAACGGGTGGCGCATAATAAACGGGACACTTTTGTTCTTTATGTTTAAGCCGCTTCCGAATGATCTGAAAATCTGGTTCTAGTCTCATTCGATAGAGAATTGAATTCTCTACAGAACCTGCTTTTTGAATCTTTGATAGAATTTTTTGCGTTTGAGCACCACTCAGAATACTGAATAGTGCTACATTCTCGAACTGCGACACGCTGAAAATAGAAAAATATTTGCCTTGATCCCAGAATAGACTTCATAAGAATTTTGAAAACATCAGGAGATTCACCGGAAAATTCTGTATCTTCTCAAACATTCTTCGAAATTCTGCAGTTAACTCTTCGACGAAAATTTCTGTTTGCAAAAAGATGATAAATCTAAAAAAATCTAACTTTTGAATCTATTTTTCACAGCTTTTTATTTTTGCTTATAAAATCAGTAAAACGTTATGAATACAGGATTTTAGCCTTGTTATCTTATACAGAATTAATTTCTGCATCTTTTGATATATAAACAAAGTTTCTCAATTGAAACCATTAATTACAAAATTAATTTAATTTGGA